TTTAGTAAATGTTTATAAACTGATAAATGATAATTGTTACATTGCGTTAGTTTTAATAGTATTAGTTTTTTAGAATGTTGTAAATATAAAATTCTTGTAAATGTGTCGTGTTCTTGTGTCTTGGGGAAAAACTGTCTTTTTGATGCTGGATCTTATTGCAGGAAGATTTATTCATATTTGCCTATTTTTTTCTCATCTTTCTTTAAGCTTCCAGATACTGTTTCTTTAGAGACTCTGGGACACGTTATAAGGAAAGAGTGTTTGGAAAATTTAACACTCACTGGACATATGAAAGGAAGGAGTAGCAGAAGGAAACAATGAGTAATCTACCTAATGAGTTTGGGTGAATGGACAGCAGAAGTCTAATTTACTTACAAGGGTACACGGCAGATGAAGCATTGCAATGAAGCCTTAAAAAACGACAACAAAGACATATTTAAAAATGGTTTGAAACAAAAGCAAATTAAGAACTAAAATACCACCTCTAAAAAAAATAAAATAATTGCGTCAAAGTTGTATAAGCAAATTTTAAAATAAACAAAGGGTTCATATATACTTTGAATAAAAGATTGAATTACAAAACTTTAAGCATGAATAACCCTGTAAAGAACTATGCTCTTTATCAAATGACCTACAAGAAGCCTGACTCCCCAAACTTGACGCAGTTACTATTTTTAGTATTTTTTTTTTATTAAGCAAGTTTATTTATTTACTGAGTTAAAAAGCAGTGAAATGTTTAAACGGGAAAGACAAATAATTAAAAGAAAAAAAGAAAAAAAAATTAAAAAAAGAAATCACTGAATATTTGGTAATGATTTTATTCGTTAAAAATCTTTATTTATTACTTTCATTACCCTGTTTCTCTTTCTACAACCCTCTCTATCCCACCCTATTTATCGTTTTCTCTCTCTCTCTTTCATCCGTGGGTGTGAGAGAGAAGCTCTTCAACAAAAACTTGTTGACTAGTGTCCTCATTTCATGTGCCAACACCCGTTTCTTGTCTTCACATCGAACAAAGGAATGAGAAAGCCGTAACTTTTAGCAAATATGTCTCACTAAATCAATTACAACTGAATAGTGCACAAGTGCTCCATACTCACAGCCTTGTGGCACATTTTATCTATTCTTAGTAAATTACTATCAATCAGCTGTCAAATTTTGTATTTCTATTAATGTTATATATATATGGTCTTTCTCTCCCTCTCTCTCTCTCTCTCTCTCTCTCTCTATATATATATATATATATATATATATATATATATAGTTTTAAGGTTTGAGCTATATATATATAGTTTAAAGGTATGCTATATATATATATATATATAGTTATAAGGTATGCTATATATATATATATAGTTATAAGGTATGCTATATATATATATATATAGTTATAAGGTATGCTATATATATATATATAGTTTTAAGGTATGCTATATATATATAGTTTTAAGGTATGCTATATATATATAGTTTTAAGGTATGCTATATATATATATATATATATATATATAGTTTTAAGGTATGCTATATATATATAGTTTTAAAGGTATGCTATATATATATATATATAGTTTTAAGGTATATATATATATATATATATATATATATATATATATATATATAGTTTCATGGTATATGCTATATATATACAGTTTTAAGGTATGCTATATATATATATAGTTTTATATATACTATATATATATATATATATATATATAGTTTTAAGGTATTATATATATATAGTTTTAAAATGCTATATATATAGTTTTAAAAGTATGCTATATATATAGTTTTAAGGTATGCTATATATATATATAGTTTTAAAGTATGCTATATATATATATAAAAATAGCTTTCAAGTATGCTATATATATATATATATATAGTTTTAAAGTATGCTATATATATATATAAATAGCTTTCAAGTATGCTATATATATATATATAAATAGCTTTAAGGTATGCTATATATATATAGCTTTAAAATATGCTATATATATATATATATATATATATATATATATATAGTTTTATGCTATATATATATATAGCTTTAAGGTATGCTATATATATATATATATATATATATATATATATATAAGGTATGCTATATATATATATATATATATATATATATATATATATATATATACATAAATATAAAAGTGAACATAGAAGTCAGCACTTCGAGACAACAGTCTGTTTCATACTAGATGCAATCATCTGGCCACGAGTGCTGTTATTTTTCTCTGCCATTTATATATATACGGGTCAGTGGTGCATTGTGGGTAGTCTATTTTGGCAGTTATTTTACCGGACGTTTATTTATTTATTTGGGTTAAATTATTTTGCTTGTTTTTATTTATTTTTATTTTTATTTCTTATCTTATATATTTATTTTTTTTTTTTTTAATCAGTGTTTTTATTAACGTAGTAAAAATTTGTTTATATCGCTTATTTAATAGTTTTGTTTTGGTTTGGGAAGATAATTAAAGCAATTTATTCAATTTGGGAGTTGATTGTTGTAGTTTATTCTAACTATTATTTTAGCGGGAACAGTTTTTAATTTGTTTATTACTTCATGTATTTATTTGGATTGATTATCTTTATTTGTTTTTTCTGATGGTTAATTTATCGGGATCAGTTTGTTTGTTTATTTATTTATTTGGATGAATTCATGTCAATTTATTTTACTTGTTATTATTTATTTGTAAATAACTGTATACTGTATATTTTCTCTTTTCAGTTTACGATTTTTAAGTGATGTATTTTTTTTTTTCATTATATAACAGTTATAGCTATTTTTCGTCCGATTTTTGGTTTGATTTTTATAGTCTAACTAATGTTTTGGTCATAATGGTTTGCTAATTTGTTTATTATTTACTTTATTTATTTGGGTTCATTGATTTTTTTTTATTCTATTTCGTCTATTCAAACAGGTGTGATTTGGTAATTTGTTTGGGTTAATTTATTTTGCTTATTTTATTGTCATTTTATTTATTTATTTTTATTTTATTTTATTTTTTCCATTTTTGATTTTTAAGTAACATAGTAAAAATTTGTTTTCATGTCTGCATTTTGAGATGAGCTTGGATCTTTTATTTAATAATTTATTTTGGTCTGGGAAAGTAATGATAGCTATTTTTGCCTCCAAGCAAAGTTTGCAAGTTTTTGATTGGTTGTTGTAGGCTGATGATCTTTTCCATATTTTCCAAGATATTTTGTGTATGATGTACATTTTGTTTTTAATTTCCTAGATATACTTAGAAAGCATTGTGCTGTTTGCATATTTACTATTTGTGAGAGATGTTTTGTGTGCATAATTTCTTTGTTTCCAGGGTCCTTCAGTTACTCCTATGTATACTTTTTCTTCATTATCTGGTGATTTTATCGTGGCTTGGTATATTACGCTGTTTTGTAAACAATTACTGTTTAAGGGACATTCGTTCTTTATTCTGCAGTTGCACCTAGGTTTAATTTGTTTGTGTGGTTTGTTGATAATTTTCCTGTTGTGCTTTTGTTATTTGTGCCATGTTCTCGGTACAACTGTAACTTATTTTTACTGCGTTTTTGTTGAATATTTTGTGTAGTGCTTGATTCCAGGAAGTGTTGTGTAAGAGTGTGTGTGTGTATATATATATATATATATATATATATAATATGCTATATATATATATATATATATATATATATTTAAAATATATATATATATATATATATATATATATATAGCTTTAAAAAAATATATATATATATATATATATATATATATATATATATATATATAGCTTTTAAGGTATGCTATATATATATATATATATAATTTTAAGGTATGCTATATATATATATATATATATATTTATAGCTTTTCAGTATGCTATATATATATATATATAGTTTAAGGTATGCTATATATATATATATATAGCTTTATATATATATATATATATATATATATATATATATATATATTAAGGTATAGCTATATATATATATAGCTTTAAGGTATATATATATATATATATAGTTTTAAGGATGTATATATATATATATATATATATATATATATATATATATATTTAGGTATGCTATATATATATATATATATATATATATAGCTTTAAGGTATATTATATATATATATATATATATATATTTTAAGATATGCTATATATATATATAGTTTTAAGTATGTTCTCTCTCTATATATATATATATATATATATATAGTTTATATACTATATATATATATATATATATATATATATATATATATAATGTACTCTGAGAACAAATAGAGTACACTTCAACCTTCATAATTTTAATTTAAAAGAAGGTTTGATACATAGTAGAGCAATATTATTTATTTTGGGCTATTAAAAATATGTAAGAATCGCTACACAATTGCATTCATGTTTCAACACATAACAATGCATCTCATCAGGTGATTATAAATTACTGGCAAGTGAATGAATAATTTAGTTACTAAAGCAAAATACACCCTAATTTTAAAAAAAAATATCGATCAAATATGATGTATGTTAAATTCAAACTAAGGGAAAAAGAAAAAAATTAGAAATTATTACCTTAGAAATGTGTCATGGCTAACATTTGACATTTAACAGCAACATGACTGCAGTTGTGTAGCCATTCTTACATGTCTTTGTTGTAATATCCTAAAATAAAAAATACACGTATATATTTTATTTTAAGGTAGATTTTGCATATATTTAAATATATATATATATATATATATATATATAATCTTGTTTAAGGTATGCTATCTACTTATGTACTTCTATATAGTTTTATGGTATGTTATATATATCTATATATATATATATATATATATATAGTTTTAAAAGTATACTATATATATAGTTTTAACGTATGCTATATATATATATATATGCACTGTTTTAAGGTATGCTATATTCTAACTACTAATCATACATGGCAGTTGAATGGAGCAGACTAACATATAATAGATATAAACAGACTGAGATAGATAGAGAGACAGATATAGACTGAGATAGATCGATAGATAGAGAGATAGAAATAAACTGAGATAGATTGAAAGATAGAGAGTTATAAACAGACTGAGATAGATAGATAGATAGAGAGTTATAAAAGGACTGAGATAGATAGATAGTTATAAGCAGACTGAGATAGATAGATAGTTATAAACGGACTGAGATAGATAGATAGATAGTTATAAATGGACTGAGATAGATAGAGAGTTATAAATGGATTGAGATAGATAGATAGAGAGATAGATAGGTATAAACGGACTTAGACAGATATAAATGGACTGATATAGATATGAACAAACTGCGATAGATCGATAGATAGATAAGAACAAACTGAGATAGATCGATAGATATGAACAAACTAAGATAGATTGATAGATATAAACAGGCTGAGATAGATAGATTATTAAACCTATAATTAAGCCCAATTATAAAACCCTATTATGAAGCCCAATTGTAATGACGAATGTATCATCCTAACTACGAATTATACGTGGCAGTGAAATGGAGTACACTAACAAATATATAAATATATATATATATATATATAAAGATAGATGGGTAAATATCTGAACCTGTTGATAGATGGATAAATAGATAGATAGATAAATATCAGGTCATCACATAAGTTCTGTCCGAATTTTAACTTTTTGTTAAAATGAACGAAATTTAAAGAGTATTTTATAATGTCTAATTGAGCTGAACATTATTTTTATGTTTAGTTGCATTTAAAATGATCAAATTTTATTTCAGAGAACAATAAAATTAAATTTTGTTTGATTAAAACCCTGCTAACATGGAAATACCCAAGAATCATTTGAGGCACATAATGCTTTATGAGTTCAAGAAAGGAAACTCAGCAACTGAAGCGGCTAGAAACATTCACTCAGTTTATGGAGAGGAATGTGTGAATGATAGAACTTGCAGAAGATGGTTTGCAAAATTCAGAGGTGGAGATTTCACCCTTGAAGATGAAGATCGAACCAGACGTCCAGTTGAGTTTGATGAAAAGCTTCTTGAAGCAGCCCTTGAAAAAATCCTGCTTTATCAGTTGAGGAATTGGCAGTGGTTCTCAGTTCAAACCATACAACTGTTCATCATCATCTTCAACAACTTGGAAAAGTTCCTAAACTTGGAAAATGGGTGCCTCATGAATTGTCTGAAAACAACCTCAAATCCCAAGTTGACATCTGCTCTTCTCTCTCTTCTCGCCAAATTGTTTCACCTTTTTTGGATAGACTTGTGACTGGCGATGAAAAATGGATCTTTTATCAAAATGTTAAGCGTCGTAGACAGTGGCTTGGTAAAGGGGAAGGACCCCAGCCACAGCCGAGAAGGGAACTTCATGGGCAAAAGGTTCTTTTTTTCAGTCTGGTGGGATCGCCAAGGAATAATCCACTTTGAATTCTTACCACCTAATGCAACAATTAATGCTCAAATATACTGTCAGCAATTAGTGTTTGAACCAAGGAAAAAAAGACCTGCTCTAGTGAATCGAAAAGAGGTGATGTTTCATCAGGACCATATGCAACCCCACACAGTAAGAATCACGTCACAAAGGATCGAAGAACTTGGTTGGGAGAAAATTCCTCATCCACCTTATTCTCCCGATCTTGTTCCTTCAGACTACCTTTGTTTCGTAGCTTAAAGAATCATTTGGAAGAAACAGCTTTTGTAACACAGGAAGAGTTAAAACTGACATTTGTGAGTTCTTCGAATCAAAGCCAAAAGAATTTTACAGTAATGAAATTAGTAAGCTTGTTAATAGACGGAAGGAACTCATAGATAATCAGGGAAAATACATTGTTGATTGAATCTGTAATTAAATGTAACATTTGGTCACTTGTTTTCTTTATTCAAAATTTGGACAGAACTTATGGGATGACCTGATAGATAGATAGTTTTTGGGGAACCAGCTGTAATGGGTAATGTATCATCCTAACTATTAAACATACGTGGCAGTTAAATGAAGTACACTAACATATAATAGATAGATAGATATTAGGTTGAGTTATAAGTAATTTCCATTTTGTGGAATCAATTGTAATGATAAATATATCATCCAAGCTACTAACCATCTGTAGCTGATAAAACTTGGAATAAAAAAATATACCTTAATTTTTGCATGGCAATGGCAGCATACACAGTGGATTAAAGGGAAAATGTTCTCCATTATTATTCATTATTATTTTATTAACTGATTTCATTTCATTTTTCCACAGTATAATTCTGGGGTGGGTAAACTTGCTTAATGTAAGAGCCACATACGATAAAGTTTAGTTTGAGATCTGAAAGACATTAACAAAATTTACACCTACATTTTTGTTACATATACACTAACATGAAACTTACATTTTAATCTAATGGGGCCTCAATTCATACCCAGTAAATAATTATAAAGATTGAATTTTTTTTCTTATTTACCTTTTTATATTAACTGCGATAAAAAAAGGACCTCGACAAACATATTTCAACAAGCCACATGTTAAAGGTCAAAGAGCCACATATGGCTCACGAGCTGCATGTTAAAGGTCAAAGAGGCACATATGGCTCACAAGCCGCATGTTAAAGGTCAAAGAGCCACATATGGCTCACAAGCTGCATGTTAAAGGTCAAAGAGCCACATATGGCTCACGAGCCACATGTTAAAGGTCAAAGAGTCACATGTGACTTGTGAGCTGTAGTTTGGTGACCCCTGATATAATTGAATAAAATGTAATTGTATTTTATTATTTTGGGACAATCAAGTTGATAAACAAAAATTGAAATTAATTATGACTAAGCCTAATAGGAGTTATCACTTTACGAGCGACCCTTGTATTTTTTATCTAATCAGTGTGATGCTTGCCAAATGGCAAGATAAAATTAAAAAAAAACAAAACTAATTAATTATAGCTGATAGTGAAGTCACACACACACGTTTCCTTATTTTTCTCGCACTGGAATATTAGTGAATTTATCCTGAAAGATTGACACTAGATGAAGCACACTTAGAAAAACTGTGAAAAAGCATTTTGGCAGTCAGTGTAAACAGAATGCAATTCCACAACCGACTGGACTGACTTTGGTTGATTGTTTACTGTTTATCCTAATTTATAAATGTGAACTGGTTTCATACTGTTTGTTTCATTATCTCTACCATTATTTTAACCTATTATCTATATCTATAAACAATTTTTTATTTATTTATTTTGATTTAATATAACATCACTATTAATTCAGATGCCCAAACAAAAAATCTGTTTGCCCTGGATGGTCCAAAGCCTAAACTGTGCCAACTGCATCCACTGCTGGAGTGTAAGACAATATCCAACTCTGGTTTCCAGAGTTGGATCGAAGTCCAGATGGAATTTTTTCCAGCTGTGCTGGTCAAACTCTCTACCTTTAGGCAGAGGGGATCCCCAGATGAGGCTATGTCGAAGGACAGAGTCTTGTCTCAGGAAACAGCTATCTGACCCTGTTTTATATAGGAATTTTTGGCCAAGCCTATGGGTTCAATTCCCCCACTTTAAAACTCGGCCTTGTGCCACATCTTACCTTGTGGGGAGGTTGGTAAATACATCCAGAATGGACCAGATTATGTGTAGATGCCTACAAATGTCAGGGATAGATCTGGTCCATGTTTACCCGAAGAAAAAACACCCTTCCCCCCACACTCTGTGTATATTACTGACCCATGTCTGCATGGAAACCCTCCCTCCACTACAAGTATATTCCTGACCCCTGTCTGCCTGGAGACACCCCCACCCCAATATATTCTTGACCCCATATCTGACTGAAGACCCCTCTCCAAGTATATTCCTGACACATGTCTGACTGAACCCTCCCCCAGTATATTCCAGACCCCTGTCTGCCTGAAGACCCTGCCCTCCGTAGTATATTCCTGACCCATGTCTGCCTGAAAACCCCCCAAGTATATTTCCAACCTATGACTGTTTGAAGACCCTGCTCTCCAGAGTATATTCCCAACCCATGTCTGCCTGAAGACCTCCACCCTGTGTATATTCCCAACACATCTGTCTAAAGACCATGCCCTCCAAAGTATATGCCTGACCCGTGCCTGCCTGAAGATGCCCCCACTAAGTATATTCCCAACCTATGTCTGCCTGAAGATCCTGCCCTCCAGCGTATATTCCCATCCCATGTCTGCCTGGTCCATATCTTATTAAAGACTAGAGTATAGATCTGACCAAGTGTCAATATTTCATAAAATCCACCAATTGAACACCCAAAAAGTTTCACTAGAAAATGATGAATAGTATGATCAGGGAATTTATGCAAATATTTTACACTATTCTCCACATTGCTTGTGGGGATACTCTAAACCACATGATATGAATGTATAGATTTTGTGCATGGTCTATAAGACAAGCCCTGTTTTGAGAGATGAGTTTTATAATGATCTAGATTCTGTTTTATGCAACAACATACACTACACTCAATAGGCAGGGGATCATAATTTTTCATTGTAGATCTGTTTCGTTATTGTCTTAATTTGCATCTTAACAGAGTGTGATAAACAATAATCTGGTTGGCCGTGACTACTGTAGTGTGCCTAATCCTCTCAAGTGCCATAAGTGAGAAGATATTTGTAAATATCAAAATTGCTTTAATCACTTATAGGCAAACAAATTTAGCCGCAATATCATAGCATGTGATTACCAATTACCGTATATTCTTATTACTGTAATTCTTACTGAACAAAATTCAATCTGATATTTTAAATTATTTTAAAATATTACTTATCTTTTCCAGTTCTGCTTCTTGATTGTGCCAACAATTCGTAATCTTTGATCTTCATGCTTACAAAAAAAATACCAAGTGTCAAAAGGATGTTTTTCCCTTGACACCACTATTATTTTAACTACCTTTACTCCTCTGCAATATTTATTGTTTTAAAAAGCTATGATTAGAATTGTAATAAAATCTAAGTATATGATGAAAGTGAATTCATAAATTTTTGTTCTTGAAAATTTACAACAAATATATTTATTTATTAGATTGTTTATTTTCGGGAATAATTTTATATTTACAATATTCTAGAAACTAATACAATTGTATTGAAACTAATGTATAAAGGGAAAAAGACAATAGGAAAACTGTAGTTTTAGCCAATGCGTTTCGTCCAATGTGGACTTTTTCAAGGCAAAAAATGAAATGAATTTATTGAAACAAAGTATCTATAAACAACAAACAAAATGTCGTTAGAAACTAGAAGAGTTTAGAAATGCTATTGTATATTCCTATGGTCAACTGAAAAATTACATCAATTACTTTATGCTTTAAGAGAATATTCTCACCTGTAGAAATATTGTTTTTATTGTTGTGTTGATGGATTCAACCATTTTCTTTTGATTTCTTGATATATTTATTGTTTACGTTGGCTTGGGAGAGTAGTGATTCTATTAGGAAAAGTGATATTGGGAAAATATTCAATGGTGGCACTCTTGAGGATTTTTCTTCTGAGTGAATTATTTTCTTTTTTTATGAGTGTAACATTTATAAAATCAAAATTGTGGTTGAATTTATTTTTTTACCTTGAAAAAGTTCATATTGAACTAAACACGTCGGCTAAAACTAGTTTTTCTATTTTCTCTTTTCCTTTATATACATATTGTCTTTTTCTACAGGTTAATTCTGAGAAATTTTTACATTAAAACTAATACAATGCAATATCTATCATTTACCAATTTATAAAGAAATAAATAGGAAAACAATATTTTATTCACAAATTATTAAACCTTTGCTAAAGAATTAAAATATATGAACGATTTATAAGGAAATCCTTATTATTTATCATTTTAAAAAGTTTGGATGAATTGGCAACCATCCCAATAAGCAATTGTTTTGTTATCAATTCTCAACAACAAAGAGTATGTATAAATCCACTTTCATATGTTTATGTTTTATTCTAATTCTAATCGTCACTTTTTAAACATTGCCGAGGAGTGAAGGTAGTTAAAATAATAGCAGTGTCAAGGAAAAATCAGTCCTTTTGACACTCCATTTTTTTTTCTTGTCTTGTAGGCATAAAGGTCCAAGATTGCTGAATTATTTTTTCTGTTGTTAAACGAACAAAACCTCTTCTGACAATTCTATTTTCATGCTTTTTGCATAATTAATCACACAATTTGAATTTAGCTGCGTAATACAGTCTCCTTTCTAACTATTTTGCTTCTTTGGCCTAAGATACAATATTTTCGCTTTCAATGACACCTTCAACTTGACAATAAGCACATACTACACTGCCAAATATCCAATAAAAATTGAAATACTAATTAAGCAATTCTTCAATGTGCTCTTCAGGATGTAAGTAATCATGGCTCTCCACAACTTCCTGTTTTTGTAACTTTTAAAAAATTTTGTCTTTTTGTTATCTCCCTATAACCTTTCTTCATCCATTTACTGACGCTCACTAAGTTGATTATGCATTGTTTTCCTTTGTCCCTCTTACCTTCAATCTGTCCTGAGAGCATCAGATTTTCCAAGCCCTCTTTCCTCATGATGTGCCCGAGAAATTTCAACTGTCTCTCCCTGATGTTAAGTCTAGGTGTCCTTTTCATTTCCATTTTCTCTAAAGTCTTGTTGTTGCTCATATGTTCAGTCCATGGTATCCTCAGCATCCTTCTGTAGAAACACTATTCTGTTGCTTCAAGTCTCTTCTTCATCTGTGAGGAGATTTACTATCATATAGGAGGACAGATATTATGTAGCTGTTTAGTAATTTTTTCTTTGTTTCTAACAAAACTTTTCTGTTTCTTAATACTCTGCTTAGCTTTTGGAATGCATCTTTACCTATAATCACCCTCATTGTTCAGGCGCATTGCAAATTTGAAATCCATATTATTGCTATAAAAAACACATTGTAATTAACTAAAATATACATGCATACTGAAATATATTTACACATGGCATATATTTTTATTCAAACATTATTATAGTGGACATTTCTTATTTGAAATAGATGCCCCATTTAAAATTTATTAATCCAAATGTATTATGGCTATTGGCCTGTGCATTCAAGAAATCTAAGTAAAGAAAAGGTATCAAACCTGTGTCCCCCTTTGTAGGAGAAACTACCATTTGCTCCAGCTTGCTTTATCACTCGGTTACAAAGGATTTACAGTAAGCAATACTCTTTTTACACCCTATTTAAGAAAAGTACATCCCCTTCACTTTATCAAAATAAGTTTATTGATCTTTATATTTTGGAATTATATAATTTACCTTTATATCCTTATTTTTCCTTGATAAAATGTTCTATGAAGCCTTAAAATAAAAAGTTATTTCACATTTAGACTTTTTCTTAACATCGTTCTGATCTTTACACTCGCTACTGTATATACACAATCTTATTAATAAATATACATTGGGAACAAGCTTACAGTTACACCACATTGAAACACCAGTTCCTGTGTGATCACTGATCTTCAGCAATGTTGAGCCTGATCATTACCTAGATGGGTGACCTCTTGGGAATACCAGGTGCTGGAA